GAAGTCTTTGATCAATGATGGTGCTTGGAAGTCTCGTATCCTTCAGGTTTGCGCAATAAACTGAAAACCTATACTTCAACTCACGTGTCTCTGTAGTAACTTCTTCAAATTGTTTTTCTTGATTTATGGTTCAGTCTTGTCAAATTTCGAACAACTGTAATTTTCAGTTTTAGTATCACATATTAGAGATATTGAAAAAAATATTATGATGTGGAATATCTCTATATTCTGTAGGCATGTCCTCTATTATTATCTGTATTTAGACCCTAGAATTATGATCCCCTTTTGATTTGTTTTTCATGTGTTAAATGCTGCCAGTTTTTGTAGTTGTATTAAAATTTTCACTTGTTTGCAGGCTTTCACGACAGTTTTGCAGAAATGCAGTCCAGAGTCCTCAATGAAATTGGTTTGCCTTTCTGCTATTGAGGAAATGTTACTTCCTGTAAGATTCCTATCAAATGAATGCACATTTTCATATTCCTAGCATGCCTTTGGAGTGTTCCCATTTTTATTCATGATAACTCCTTGCAGAGGCGTATCCAGAATTTTAAGATCATGGGTGCACCTATGATTTTGACATAAAATTAATACTTGTCATAATGTGAGTAATGTAATTTTTTTTTGGATATTTTATGACTTATTTTTAGTTTTAGAAAACATTATTCAAAGAGATAATTAACTATAATCTTAGTAAACTAAATTTATTTTTCATTAATATTATCAATTATAATTTGTACAAATATTAATGCCGTTACCTATGCAAGTTTTAGGATAAAAAGAAGCACGAAAAAATCAAAACGCTTTGGAGCATATGATTACTTCTTTTATGTGAATTGCTTACCAAAAAAGAAAACTGCATTTTGTTCTAAGAGAAATTGGAATAAAAATAATTAAGCAAGTTTCTTTGTATAACTTATAATAGATCTTACACTCACATAAATTATTTATTTTGGTAATTAATTAATAGTTTAACAAAATTTATGTAGTAGTTTAAAATAAAAATAAATCTTAATTAGAAGTAATCAATAGCTAATCTCTAAATTCTTAAGTTATTGTATACCATAAAGCCTTGAAGAATTAATCAGCTTGGATGCAATCAAGGAGAGAATCAGTAAGGAAAAAAATAATAAGAAAAGGCAAAAGAAAAAAAAAATAGAAGAAAAACCGAACAAAAACCTTAATAGCACATGTGACCATAGGTCTCAAACTGAGGCACCAAATGCCAAATTTGACCATGGGTGCCTTCTGCCCTATATAGCAAAATATGGAAAATTTTACTCTAAAATATATTTTTATTTGTAAGTAGGATGGGTTCACAGGCCCCAAAATTCTTAATGTGTATACGCCCTGACTCCTTGTTTTTAATTGAAGGGCGAACTCCTTTTGTCTGGTTGCCATTATTTGTTTAATTGAAGGAAAAGCCATGTATTAGCAGTCATCAGAATGAGCAACTGGATTAGCTTTTGTTGCTAGGCAATTAGCACAATGTTGATGTGCCTATATGCTTTCTTCGTTGAATCTAATGTCAAATTTCATGTGATTGTAGGAGCAGGATTGGCTTTATCTGGATCCTAAGGATCTTGAAATATTTAATCATCAAATTGCGTGGATAAGGGAGCTTCCAAAGCTGTTAGTCCTCTTAGGTGATAAACACCCATTACATGCAAAGGTACCTACTTAGCTACCACCATACTGTTCTTACTCTAGATGAAATTTATGGCATATGCATATCCATTTGCTCTACAAGTTTTCATATTTAGCTGAACCATCATCTTTGTCTCCCCCATAATTGCCTCTTGTAGGCTGTGTTGCGTCTTCAACTTCGTCTTGGACAAGCTGCTAGTTT